AAAAAGACATTTGTGGTGAGTAAGAATTGCTTTGGAGTTTATGCCCACCTGTTCCTTAGAGCTGTCTGTGGGTGATCATATGAGTCTGAGTTGTCACTCATGTTTGTATCAGGACTGGAATTCTCAGATGGTTGTGAGTCATTTGAGGTCCCAAAAGTCTAGCACAGAGATAGGGAGATTGTGGGTGGATCTCTTGAGCCTAGGAGTTTAAGACCAGCTTGGACAACATAGCAAAACCCTGTCTCTACCAAAAAATACAAAATTTAGCCAGGCGTGGTAGTGTGTGCCTGTAGTTCCAGCTACTTGGGAGGCAGAGGTGGAAGGATCGTTTGAGCCTGGAAGGTCAAGGCTGCAGTGAGCCAAGATCATGCCACCGCACTCCAGCGTAGGTGACCACAGGCTTAAAAAAAAAAAAAAAAAGGCGGTGGGGGAGAAATAGAGCCTGATGTAGTAAATAGGCTGGATAGGGAGTGGCTACTAGAGTAAGAAGGAACTAGGCTGTTCACAGGCTGTTAACAGTAACCACTGGTAAGAGTTATTGCAGCAGAACTTTTAGTCCGTAGTCCTCACTCTCAAAAGATGCTTCAGGAGTGAGCACCTGGGGCTGGGATATGGACAGGTGTCCCAGAACAGTGTGGTGCTTGGCACCACCTCCTCCAGTCCCTGCCACAGCGGAGCTTTGCCTGTTGGTTTATAGTTCAAGGTAATTTTGACTATTTTAAGTCCTTTGGATTTCCATATAAATTTTAGGATCCAGCCCATCAGTTTTTGTAAAGACAGCTGGGATTTGGATTGGGATTGCATCGAATCCGTGTATTAATTGGGGTGGTGATGGTATTGCCAGCTTGACAATATTGAGCCTTCCAATCCATGAACATGGAATTGAATTTTGAATGTGAAACCAAACTTGTATTCGTGTACCATTTGGTCATATATTGCTGGATTTGGTTTGCTTGTCTGTTCTTATGGATACCCTGGTAGTTTCAGAGTTTAGGTCTTAAAATGGTGAGGATGAACGTTTTAACATGTTTAAAGTATATTTTAGGCCGGGCATCGTGGTTCACGCTTGCAATCCCAGCACTTTGGGAGGCTGAGGCAAGTGAATCACGGGGTCCAGGAGTTTGAGACCAGCCTGTCCAATATGGTGAAACCCCGTTTCTACTAAAAAATACAAAAATTAGTTGGGGGTGGTGGCGCGCGCCTGTAGTCCCAGCTGCTCAGGAGGCTGAGGCAGGAGAGAATCGCTTGAACCTGGGAGGTGGAGATTGCAGTGAGCCAAGATCATACACTGCATTCCAGCCTGGGTGACACAGTGAAAGTCCTCAGTCAAGAAAGAAAGAAAGAAAGAAATAAGGAAAGAAAGAAAAACTTTTATTGGATTCTCTTCTTCAGCGGTCTTTGGAGAGTTTTGAGTGCAATCATCATTGAATTTCTGGCTAACTTAGCTGTCTCATTTATAAAATGATTTTAGGCACTAACCAAGAAATTTCTGAACTGCATACAACTTTCACTATGTTAACAATTTATCTGTTTGATATTTCTCCTTGAACTTTTCAAAACAACGTATTTCATCACTGTTGTCAAAATATTCAAACACATTTCTGTCTATTTTAGGTATTGTAAAAGAGGAATATACATATTTTAATTTTAAAACATTTGGAATTATGATTAAACATCCTTAGTTACCTGGAGTATGAAAAATGTTTTAAAATCAACTGAGTTAAACCCCTGGAACATTATAATTTAATTTCTTTGGAAAATATATTTATTTTCTAAGGAGTCCTTCATTAAATTACTGTAAAGTTACATGTGACACCAACATATTTAACTTTTGTTTTTTTTTAAGTAGAGATGGGGTCTCACTATGTTGGCCAGATTTTTGAATTCTGGGCCTCAGGCAGTTCTCCCTCTTCAGCCTCCCAAAGTGCTATAATTTTACAGGTGTGAGCTACCATACCTGTTCACGTTTAACTTTAATATGCTGGAACTTTTTAACAACACAACAGATTTACTTGTCTTTTGTTTCTTTTACCTAGAATTCAAATGTATAGAAGAGAAATGTGATGTTATAAACAGATTAAAGATCTGTCTTCATTTTAGAGGTCTTAGTTGGCTTGTTTTTATAAGACAGTGAAATGTAATTACTAGGATAATTATTTCTGAATTTAATTTTTACACATGATAGACAAAGAATCGTTTTCAGTGATTCAGGTTAAGCATAAAGAAGGCATGTTTTCTGTCATTGCAGTGGGGTTTTTTGGGTTGTTTTTGAATCATTAGGTGATCATCAGATAAAAATTATTGATCTTAATATTATGAAGACATGGAATATTTCCCATCTATTGTTTACACAAGTGATTGCAGGTGGTATACTCTATATATTGATAGAGAAATGTAGTGTCTTGTATCCCAACATTTCAGATGAGGTTTTTTTTTGTGTGTAAACTAACTAGTTGAAGATAACCGGTCTCATTGTTAGTGTTTGAAGTTCGAAAATTTGGTTGTTGGTAAAGTAAATTCTGGCGAAAGATGTTAAAGGATGTTATAAGGTATCTGCTAGTGGAAGAGGGAGGCATTTTTCATTTGAAAAATCCGTTATCACCCAGGCAAAATCAAATGATTAATTGCTTCGCAAACTGCTTAAAGACTACATTAAATAAAAATGATCAGAACTTTAAATGTTTTGTATCTATATAAGAAGTTTTATATATATATAAATATTTTATATCCTTATAAGAAGGCTTATTTTTTTACTATCTTGTTTTTTTAGGTTTTACACACGCTGGAAAGATTGGGAATCATGGTATTCTCAGAGCTTTGGTTTACATTTTTCCTTGAGGGAAGAACAGTGGCAAGAAGACTGGGCATTTATACTCTCTCTTGCTAGTCAGGTGAGGATGCTTCAAGTTTTGTTGCTTCTATGAGAAAAGTAAACCATGTAGTCTAAATTGATTTATTTGAGCAAACCATGTTGGAGGCAATGTGGGTACAAAGAAAAGAATGCCTTATCAGTCAACTTGGGTTCTAGTAATGTATCAAATAAATACCATAGCAAGTATAGTTGACCATAGCAAGCCCTCACTGCAGAACAGGGAGAGTAATGTGTGTTTTATGTTGAATGATTAAAAACCATCAGAAGGTCACACACAGTAGATAGTCTTGGGATTGCTCTCCATTCATGTGGGAATGAATTTTTCCAGGTTTGCTAACACCTTTTAATTAATGAAAGCTTCTTGTAACATGCAACTGTGTAGGCTTGTCCCTTAGACTCTTGGTTTCATGCTTGGTTTTGTGAAGCACTTCAGTATACCAAACTGTAAAGTACAAATATATATTTATAACGATTCATTTTCTTTCCAGAAAGCACTATGATTCATTTGAACTTAGAGAAGGAGGTACCTGGTCTTTGGGCCATTTGGGCAGGATTCACAGTGGTTGATTTATATGAGACATGTACCTCACACCATGGGTTGTAGCTCGAAGATGGACCCATTTAATATTTAGTATTTACGTTTGCATGAAACAAGGTCACTTTTTCATTTCAGGAGGACTTTGTTGTAGGTAGCGCTTTCACAGTAACTTAACCAGAATGTGGTTATAAAGCATCCTTAGCTATCTGAATCTCTGGTTCCTGAGATTGGATAGTAGTGAGGCTGGGTGGCGAGGGTTATTTCAGAATTATGTATGCACATCTATATAATTTGTAGTTTGGATGGTAAATGATATTTGCATGTGGCCTTTGTAGATTTCCTTTACAGTTTTATTGGATTTATTATTTGAGGAATCAAATGCTGCTTTGACTT